CCGCCCGGGCCGGACGCACGGGCAGCGGTGACGTCAAGGGGCGCGCGGTGGCAGCACCTCCCCGCGCGCTAGTTAAAAAGAAGAAGAAAAGAGGGAGCGAAACATGAGAGGCTGTGTGAGAAGCTGCAGCCGCCGGCAGAGGAGACCTCAGCATCCTCCGGAGCCCCGCGCGCTCCCGGGCTCCGCCTGCCCCGCCGCCGCCGCCGCCGCCGCCGCCTTCTCCTCCGTGCCTGCTACTGTCTCACCTAAACAGCTCCCGTTGCACGGACAAGTGAACCTCTGTGAACGTCTCCTCTTCTTTCTTCTCCTCTTCCCACTCGTTCTCCTCCTCCCACTTCCCAGGCGCAGCGGAAAGCCCCTAACCCAACTGACACTGGCACAACTGCAGACGGTGTCATCTGCACAACTTTATCTGGCTGCTCGGGCTCCTCCAAGGCGCTGGACCCATCGCCTCGTCTTTTATTTTTTATCTTTTGCAAAGTTGCATCGCTCTACATATTTTCGCCCCCGCCACCTCCCTCCGGCTCGCGAGTGTCCCACCGCCCCGCAGCCTCCTCCGGGAGCTGCGCCCCAGGGGCCCAGTGGGCAGTGGGTCCCCCACCCTCCCGCGCCCCCCTGCTGCTCGCGGCAGACGATGCTGAAGATGCTGTCCTTTAAGCTGCTGCTGCTGGCCGTGGCCCTGGGCTTCTTCGAAGGAGATGCTAAGCTCGGGGAAAGGAGCGAGGGGAGCGGCGTGAGGAGGAGAAGGTGCCTAAACGGGAGCCCCCCAAAGCGCCTGAAAAGGAGAGACAGGCGGATGATGTCCCAGCTGGAGCTGCTGAGTGGAGGAGAGGTGCCGTGCGGTGGCTTCTACCCTCGGCTGTCCTGCTGCCTGCGAAGTGACAGCCCGGGGCTGGGGCGCCTGGAGAACAAGGTAGGCACTCAGGGCCTCACGGATGCGAACCTGGCACGCCGGCTGGGTAGGGGTCCCTGTGGCGCTGGGAGCTGGAAGCAGGGCGAAACTTCGTGGGGGAGCGCTTGTGATAACTTTCTAAAGCGCTAGCGCGATTCCGTTGTGATTTCCTCTGGGTGCGCAGAGAGCTCTCCGGTCCCCTAGAGTCCGCGGTCGGGATGCTTGAGACACCTCTACTGTGGTACCCGCACCCCGGGCTGGGTTACTATCTTAAAAGAATGGCGATCCGCGGTGTTTGGGGACCGAATAGGGCTTTGGCTGCGGTGAAACTGTAAATGAAGGTGGCTGTGGTTTCCGGTTTATTTGTCTGGGGCAAAAAGATTCGTGCCGTTTTCTCCACGTGCTCTGTTGAGAGGACTGAATCGGAAGGGATGTCGAAGCACGCTCGGTTTACGTTCCCCAGCCCCGTCAGAGCGGGGTGTCTTGAATTACAGTAGTTAAATGAGCTAAAAGCAACTCTTAGTACCTACAGTTAAGAACTCAAAAAGCTGGCCGGGGATTTCGCTGGGACGTATTTATCACCTAAAACCAAGATGATTCTCCGTCATTTTGTAACGCTGTAAATTAAGGCTTTCAGGGGGCAGTGAGTTGTCTAGGAATATTTTCTCTAGGAATTTGTTTAGAGAGCGGTGGCATTTACGTTTCCCTTGTGTTGATAAATTTAACCAGATAAGCAAGTAGCGTCGGTTGAGTGCAGAGACAGGCTTATTTTTGAGTTTGCAGTAACGTTCATGCGGGGAGATGCAGTAATGTGTGCTGTCTACCTTAGTCCAAGGAGAGAGTGCTGGGTCTCGTCATTAAGAATCACTGCACATGAAATAAGCAATCAGGTGTCCTTGCTCCCCTCCCTTTCCCCATTTTAGGTTTAATTAAGAATTCCTCTGTTACAACCCTGCAGTTGTCAAGGACTGAGAGACTCTTGGAAAACTTGTGCTTCAGTCTTGCTGGCCCAGGCATTAAAAAAAAAAAATACCCAGGCTGAATCTAATTTTTATGCTCAGTTCACGGTAGATTTCACTCTATTCTCATGTAAACAGCTCCTACGAATCAACATATGTGTCTGGGTGGTATCTCTCACTTTGTTTTGTAACAAAAAGCCATATTGCATCATTTAATTTGCTCAAGTCATGCAAATAGGAAAAAATCAATAGGACAAAAAGGGGTCGACTTATCCTCCTCCCCACTAAACTGCTGCCCACACACAGAGTTCTGTTGCTTATGGCAAGAGAATAACAACAACACCATTGTATTTGTTAGTTGGTTCACTAATGGGTGAAACTAGAGAACATCATTCTCTTTCAGTCCCCGGTTCTGTCCAAATGTTCATGCCTTTTGAGGGAGCATTTGTCCAACTCCCAGATGAGTGAGAACTGTCTTGCTGCAGGTTTTCAGCTGCAACTCACTCTTTATTCTTACCATATGCAGCCGTAGTCTGAGATTCAGGGAACAGATATTCCAGCATTTTATTGAAAACAATGTCATTAAGCGCCAGGGTTGTAATTGAATTAAGTTGCATTCAGCCACATTCAGATCATCTTAAAGATTTTACCAGAAGCCCAAAGAACCAGGAAATTCAGAGAAAGGTTTAGAAATGTTTGCCATGGAGTGGCCCTGTGTGCTATGTATGCTGCTAGGATAGGGATGATCTCGCTGTACTGAGCTCTTCCAGGAACTTGTGGAATGAAAATGTAGTTCTTAACTAAATGTATAAAGCAGAAAGGAAGGAGGGGCGGGACTTATAACCCTTAAAAGGGGAGTTATCACTCTCAAGAGAAACGATATTAAAATTCTTTAAAAAAGAAATCATTACTCAGGAAGCAATCAGCCACATTAGCTATTTACATTCTTTTCTGCTATAAGTGTCTCCAATCTCTAACAATCTCTACTCATTTGGAAAATGTGTCTGAATTAAGTCAGGTCCACTAGACTTTGCTGGTTCCATTGCAAGTGGTTTACAAAGCAACAATACTCAAACTGTTCAAAACAGCAATTTGATAGAGCTATGCATACATACTCCTGACCTATGTTACTTCTCAAGTTTTAATAGTTTTTAAAATATGTTATTTTATAATAAACTTCAGTGTTTCCCTTTTTCTCATAAGCCGTCCTGGATTATAATATATGTCAGAGTCTTATTTCATAGTGTACATATAGGAAAGATGATGGCAATTTGAAAGGGCCTTTTTTTTTTGTTTAAGAATTTAAAACAATGCTCCCAAGAAAGATTGCTGCAATTTTTCAAAAGACTAAGGTAGTAGCTTTTTCCTCAGGGAAGAAATTTCTTAGTAACAAACAGGTAAGAATATTGAGAATGCACAGCTATGCAATTGAATCCAGTTTCCAGACCAGCAGATTTTCTTTAATAAACTACCATTGAGTTCCATATTATGTTTTATATTTTAATTTTTTGTACATCTTAATAGAATATATTGTAATAAGACTGTTAGCTACCATTGCAAATCTGTATTGCCAAAACTTTGGAAGCTATATTGTCTTTCAGCATTTTTTGCAGCTTCTAAGTATAGCACACCAAAAAGATCTAATTCCCATTAGCCAAATTGAATCCACAACCGGCTAAAATACCCTTATTTCTTATTTCTAAAACTTGTAGGCACAGTAGCATAGAAGTTCTCTCTACCTTGGGTGGTTTCACAGCCAAAGCTGTCAAGGAATGGGTGAAAAGTAATTGTTTTCAAGTGTGCCCTTTTACAATCATTTGTTTGCTCTGGCTCTTTCAGGGACAAAGGCTATTGTTGAACACATCCAACTAAACAAATAACTCATCCTGGGGTCCCTTTAACAGCTGCCTTCGTACAATGATCTATTTACATATTAGCCTAAAATTGAAACTGAACTCTTTAATGACATAATCCAGCTCTATAGTCCGGAGACACAAGTGTTCTACCCAACAGCTGAACAACCTTGTAGGCATATGATTTTTTAGAAATAACATTTTGTGTACCCAGTGATCTTAAGGCGACGTCTTAATATACTGTCATGTAGTTTCTCCTTTTGTCCCTTCATCCACCCCACGTGGGTGTCTTTCTACCCTCTTTGTTTAGTTACTTGATAAATAAAGAGAAATACAGAAGGTCTCTGTCACCTATATTACTGCTTGTTGATAAGCTATAGTTGTAGGCCACACTTTACTCTGTATTCCAGTATTTATCTGAACTTTCTTCTATGGATTTCACTTTCATGTGGCCAAAGATTAAAGGATGACCTACCAGATGTTACAAATTAGTCAGCAACAGCCACAATCATTACTAGGCATGCTGTAATAATGTTTCGAAGTTTTACATGATTTCCAAAGTATACATAGTTTAGACCACTGTAATTTGATGGTTTTATATAAATGGTTTTTAAAAATCAAAACAGGAAATTAGCTTAAATTTCTTCTCAAGATTGATGGCACTGTCAGCCATAAAGTTAAGGACCTGTATGAACATAGACACATAGGCAAAAAACAAGAAAGAAAAAGAAAAGAAGAAAAAAATCACCCTGCACACACCAGTACTCATCTGTCTAAACCAGTGTTGCAGCTTTGGCTGAGTCAGTTTAATTGACTTCAGTAAGACTATTGGTTCATTGAAACCAAAGCCAGAATGATGGCTCTATCTATCTTCAAATAGGTATTTACACTGCAGACCTCACACAGAGCAAAATGTTACCATCCTGCTGGGCCGGAACAGCATGAAACTTTAAAAAGAATAATATTATACTTGATTTCAGATAATTTATTGAATCCTATTTCTGAAACTTTTGATGAGAAATCTTGTGGCCAGGACACATTCCAAAAATTGTAAAAGACAAAATTCTTGAGGCACTAAAAATCAAGCTCTTCCTGGATAGCAGCTGGGAGAGTATATGGGGATCATTTTCTCTCAGCTATAAAAAAATGGAAGCATGCATATTCTCCATAAAACCAAAGGTAATTACAGTCTAGTTTTTTAGCCAGCTTAAGAGGTGGCTTTAGTGTCCTGCAGTTGTTTTGTGTTTAGTGGACTGCTATATGATAAACAGGATCAAGCTGAGCATTAGTAATATTGAATAAACCTGGTGAGGTCTTCCAGAGTATGGACAATGAGAGACATTTAAAACATTCTTGGAATGCAAATTCTAAGTATCTGGTGTATGTTTCCTTTTAGAAAACTTTAACCATTTAAGCAGTTGTCATTTAAATAAATTGATAAAAATAAAATATAAATATAATTATGGTTAGTAATTTTTTTTAATATTGTGTAGTAACCACTTATGAGGGGCAGGGATGTAGCTCAGCAGCACAAGTGCCTGCCTGGCAAGCTTAAAGTCCTGAGTTCAATTCCCAGCACCAAAGAAACAAAATAACACTTATGATACATCATTTTTTCCTAAAGTACCATAACTCCTATTGACTTAAATAGTGAATGCCTAAATTTTAGCATGCTTTTATTCAATGATTTTTTTGTTACTTTGCTCCATCAGATCCAGTATTTGTATAATCATCTATAATATCATAATATTGAAAAATAAAAGCTATGATCTGCTAAAGTTGGCACTCAGCTTGTGAATGAAATATTTGTTTTAAACAGTGATACAGAGTTTAAAATGTTTGTTTTAGCACATAGTTCAAAAGAAGTACTAAATAGAAATATAGTCAGATAATTGGGAAAGTATAATTCATTCACATTATGGTAATTTTAATATTAAAAAAATCAATGTTTGATTTATGTAGCACATTTCATGCCCCTAAAATTCGGTCGATATTGACTTCTGTATTTGTCAAAAGAATGCCTTAAGTCAGTTTTTTAGTTATACCAGATACCAAGACCTATTCTATCAATGAATCAGGAAGTCCCAAGTTGGTCTTACCAGAAGAAAAGATGTATCATTGTAAAAATAATAATAAAAATGTGCCTTTTTTCATTAAAATTCATTATCATACAAATGATATTTTTAAAATTCCTGTGTTTAATTGTATATATAACATAGCCAAGAAGCTAGTTCAAGAGTTTTCCCTGGCTAAGATATAATGATTAATAAAGACTAGTGTTAAATGTGTTCAGTTCAATTTAAAGTATTTTTACAGACTAGGAAAGCTAGTTTAGAAAACTTTCCTTACGCAGTCTATAGATTGAAAATTAACAAAAATGTTTTAAAAGTGTTAGGCAGGTATTTTTTGAGATTGTCATATTAGGAATTTCAGGAATGAAATAGATTTTCACCTAAGACACAACTAAGCCATATCTTTCAGATTTGTATTTTGCATGCAGTTGGGTAAAGGTATTAGGAAGTTTTAAAAAATTAAATGTCATTCTGTACATACTTTGAAACAGAATAAAATGATAGAACATTAAACAGTCTAAATACAATTGTGTTTTAAATTTCCACACTTGAAAGACAGATTCCTAGACCGATTTGCAAGAGTAAGAAGCACTTTTATGCGTTCCTGATTTTGTTTTCCTACCCTAGCTCCAGAGACAAGTTGCATCCTTATAAAGGCACTCTGTATTGTGACACAGTGATTCTTTTCAGAAAACTTCCTTAGCTGATTTGGACTTTGCTACTTAAATGATTGCAAAAAAAAAAAAAAAAAAACACCAACAAAACACAAACAATTCCAACTTCACATAACTAAAAAACTGTCCGTTTCTGGCTTATGGCTTTCAGATATTTTCTGTTACCAACAACTCAGAATGTGAGAAGTTACTGGAGGAAATCAAGTGTGCATTTTGCTCTCCTCATTCTCAGAGCCTTTTCCACTCACCTGAGAGAGAAGTCCTGGAAAGAGATCTAGTACTTCCCCTCCTCTGCAAAGACTATTGCAAAGAATTCTTTTATACCTGCCGGAGCCACATTCCAGGTAACAAAAGAAAATGCATAAAATAAATAAATATCCTCATAAGATACCCATTTTTAAGTGCTTGTTTACAAGAGAGATGTAAAATGTATCTCACCTTCAAAATCCTATTTTATTTCACGATTACCTTTTTCAAAGTCATGAGTTTTATTGCTGTGAAAGGAAGTGTTACAATTTGTCTATAAAACAGGTGGTAATTTTAATACACATCAGGTTATCAGTGTCAACTTTTTTAATGTGGTGCTGGGGATGGAAGCTAGGCCCTTGCACATGCTAAGCATGGGCTCTACCATTGAGCTATATACAGCCCCAGTACAAATTTCTTGTTGGAGTTTTCTTTACCTGACAGTGTTTATACGATGGCAGCTATTCTACACAGCTGATATATGATTGGAGAATGTGCACTGATAGTTAAGATAGTCCCTTATAATTAGGACTCCTAAAAAGTAACATCTTACAGAGCACTTCCACATAAAATGACTGATTTGCTCCTCAAAAACTCTGTGAAGTAGCAGCAATAGAGTTCTCTTCGTTGCACAAATGAGGGAAACTGAGTCTCAGGAAAAGTCATACGCCTTATTCAGAGTTATAAAGCAAGAAGACAATAGGATAGATACAGAAGTTCTTAGGTGACAATCTCACAAAGACACCAGGTCACAATTGTATTTCATACTTTAATAGACATAGATTTTTGGGCATTGATTAAATTTGCCATCAAACATTTATAAACGTCAGTGGTTGTGGTTTTAATTGGAAGAATCAACCTAGAGCAATCAAAGACTTTGATGATACAGAGTCTATTTAGCTAGGCAAAGTCACATACAATTCTATTGAAGTTAGCAGTTTATAAAGCTAAATGGTATTTAAGGATAAACATATGCTTAAAGAACTATAGGGATGCACTTACATGATTTTTTAAATTGCTATACACACATTTTTCCTCTTTTCCAACCCAGAGAAATGTTTTCTATTTTTTCATAGAACTCTTCTTAACAACCTGAAAAACATGTGACTAGAGTTGCTTGCTCCCTTTCGATAGGGCATAACATGTATCCATTTAATGTAAAAATAATGGTATTGTCTTTATAAACTCCAGCCATTTTTCTGAGACTTTGCTTAAGCCAGCTGTTTCTTCCTCTTTATCACATTCCCCAAAGCAAAGTGGAATAGGTCACAGTTGCCTGGATGGCCTGCAGAGAGGTGTTAACAGATTAAAAACCATAAAGGTTTGCTGCAGACCAAAGTTTGAAAGTTTGCCTTTAGGACCATAGGTTGAAAGTGATATCAACAGTTAGCATTTTCATTTTCCTTTATCTCCATTAGATAAATACAGCATGCTAAACTTGCAGGCTCATCAGTGGGGGTCTTTATATATTTAAAGTTATTTTACCATCCAAAAACTGCATGCACCTCACTCCCCAGATCAACATTTGTGGTGACGAATGACAAATTTATTTTTCTAAAGTTTGTGTATATGTAAAACTGCTGAAGTGCATCAAGATGTCAAGTGCTTTCAGTGGCCACCCAGGCTGCTTTGAAAGATAACCAGATGAAAGCTCCACTCTCGGTGGATGGAGCACTAAGGGTGCTTTCCAGAGAGTCTGGAAGACCTAAACAACAAGCAGAGAGGGCTGCTCCTTCCTATGCCACATGCTAATAATCATTTTAAATACCTGTCCCAAAGTGAGCTGTAGTAACAGTCTGCCTCACTTACCATTAATCGATCTCTTAGCCAGGCTTATCACTGGCAGTAGGTTACCATTTCTTAAAGCGGGATGAGTAAGATGAGAGTTCTCTCTTCAGCTCCTGCTGCCAAAACCAGAAATGTCTAGTTTTCTGAACATGAAATTTTAGGAATGGCTACAAAAACAAACTTGTAGTAGTTTCACTTTGTTTAGTATATTTAATAATATGGTTCTTGTCCCCTTAAAATTCACAGTTGTGGAAAATAGCTACATTGGGATTCTTTTGTATAGGAAAAACCTAGCAAACGTAGCACAACCCTCATTAATAACCTTAATCTTTCTACAATCAAAAACTTTAGGAGGAAGGTACTCTAAAGGATGAATTTTGCTAAAACAAGGAAAATGTTGGAAGAGATTGAGGGAGAAAAAGTAAATTCAGAAACATCTTTATTTTTTCCTCATTGCCTAACAATGAAGAAATAAATGCATAAACGAACCCTTTGCTTCACCCTCATGACTTAAAGAAAGCATGACCATTTTAGAATATTCTTATAACCTCAAAGATAGTTCATTCCTAGAAATTTTAATTCAGAAATAGTCACAGTCAATTTGTTTTCCTAAATAAGGGAAAAAATAAAAATCAATATAAGTGAGCCTACACTAGAGTCTTATTAATCATAATAACCTCCAATGTGACCTTTCTTAGGATGGTCAACTCTTAAAATTTCTCAAAATGCCAAAATTATATTTTTAAAAACACAGGGAATGTTTGTTCAATTCTATAGTTCTTTTCTGCATGAATGAGTGGAGTGATAGTTTGCTCTTAACTAAAAGATGGCATAGTACACTGTGGAGGGCATATCAATGGACATTTGACTTCTTTCTTTATACCTGTTATCATAATGACTTTTATCACCCTTGACAGTCATCTCCTCAGCAGTGGCTTATTGTAGTGTGAAAGGTCTGCACACAATTAGTACAATTGGTTTAATCCTGTTGCTAATGAGGCCAAGGTCAAGGGTTTGAATCCATTGAGTTTTCCAGTCCACAGCTGCTCCTAGCTCCATCAGATACCTTACACATGTGTCTTATTAGTCTCCAGGAGAGAAACCAGAGGGGTTTGACGGACATAAGAAAATCTACTATGTCTACTAGAGTATGCTCTTTAGTGTAGGCTTTCCTGCTAGGGAATCTGGAGCTCTTTTTCTTGTTTTTCTTATCATGACGAATGTACATATAATGAAGAAAAATAACTTCCCTCGAATACATGCTGAGAAAAAAAGCTACAACTCAAGAATACTCCACAGGGAGTATTTGTTTTACATATCATTTATAGGGCATCCTGTGCTACATAACAGGACTGAATTCACAATCTGAGAGAATGGCTACTGGCCCAGGATACTTAATAAATTATCAGGAGTTTTAAAAATCTGCTGGAAGGCTCAGTGTATGTCCATCAGTACTAGAATTGACTAAGATAAGCTAAGCATGCACCTTCAGTGAAATGTGGTTCAATGTATTCTTCCAAACAAAAGACCACCAGTAGGTAAATTATATCTTCCCTGGCAGTAAACACTCACCCAGTGACCTGGATCCAAGTCCTTTTTGCTCTTCACAACAAGAAAGTTTTAGATGCTTCAGTTCATATATGATGACTTAAAAGGCTTTTATGTAAGACTCTCCATGAGCTGGCTTCTTCCTACTTACTCATTTTGCCTGATTTTTATTAGAAGATAGGAAAAATGCATTGTTCTCTGTATTATTCTTTCATTTGCCAAGAGCATAGTGCCCCTATAGTCACAAAGTTTAAAAATAGGCACTCATTAATCTTAAAATACTCCATTTGAAAATGATTTCTCATTTCCTTGTGTTTATTCCCAGCTAATAAGTCCTTATAAAATGGAATCAACCACCAGCATTTGCTTTGTTTCCCTTTAAGACGGTTATTGGTCTGTAGATCATGATTCTGGCTGATTACAGATGATTTTCCTTTTTCTTCTTTTTGTTAAACCAAACTTGACTTTTCTTATGAATTGCATTTTGACATCTTTCTATGACCCTGTAGACAAACATCACATTAAAATAACATTCTTCACTGACACATTCAGTTTTAAATATCCCCATAGCATGACAGTCTTCCTGCATGCCTAATATTGGCAGGAATATCTCCTGCCTGATGGTAAATACTTCAAATATGGGGTGCATGCATGAGCATGTGTGTTGCACTCCAAAATAAGATCTATCCCAAAACTTTGCAAAAAGTTGGATTCAGCAATTCAGTTTTCCTTCTCAGTTTAAGAGTATTAGGCAGTTATCTGAGTGCCTCGCCTCTTTTGCCAGCAGTCAATTGCTGAAGATGAATAAATGCTGCTGTGGTCTTCATTCCTCTTCCCAATTTCTAACGTGTGGATTTTTCCAAAGAAAGATAATCTCGTCCCGGCCTTGAAGTGCCCTTCCACCCACCACGCTCCTTGTCTTTTGACCTCTGCCACAGATGCACACTCCCAAGCATATCTGCTCTTCCTTGCCTGCTTCCCAAAGACAATGTCTTTCCTAATGGCCTAGGTGGAGATTGCCCCGGAGGAGTCTTTCTCAGAAATTTCACGTGATCACACCATCCCCAAAGTTAGATCAAAATGTACAGCAGGCTCTGTGTGAGACCCTCACATCCTAAGGTTGGTTTTAGTTCTGAAGAGAGGCGGGTCACGCCCACAGAAAATAAACTCTGAGTGTCTTTCTTTTACTGTTGATAAGCCTCACTGCTGACTCCAGAATCTTGTTCTTAGAAGTACTTGTGGAGGCTAAATTTGATGCACAGCTTCTAAATTTCAGATAAGTTACCTAGTGTCTTTATCACAAAATTAATAGAGGGCATACTAATCTAGTTTTGTAGAGAAAAATTATAATTTTAAATGTAATAAAAGTGTGAAACCAGAAGTAGTACAGTAGTTTAGAACCCTTGGAGACAACATCATATTGTGACAGCAGAAGTCATCAATATATTAAAACTATGCACAAAAAGCCAATACCATATAACTCAAATTGTAAGAGTGTTAACATTTTTTTGTTATGAAGTCTTTTGTATTCAAAGAAAGCTGTGTGTATTTGATAAAAATTCTTGAGATATAAGAAAAGAAAAAGCATCTTTATTTTTCACCCCATTAAGTCAGTCTATTTTGCATTTTTGTTTTGGCTGGGTGGTGTGTGAACTTTCTGTTTGAAAGAGAGGTGGTGTGATTTAAATGTAATTTTTGTATTACAAAACCATTATTATCACCTGTAAGAAAAAGGCACCTATGTGTTTGAAACTAGAGGCTTTGTTACTAGGATCAATTCATTGCTTGACTGTTTCACAGAGTCAGTCATTTATCATGGCACTATCCATTAGATTTATTATTTAATAATGTGCAAATGGCAATAAATTAAGACTTGTGAAATCATCCAAACTGGCATCTGATTGCCTGTCATCTTTCTTGATTCTAATTTATTCTTTTCAGGAAGCTATTTAGTATTGTAGCAAAAAATGCTAATTAGTGATGAGGTAAGCTCACAAGTATAATATACGTCCACTGAGGAAGCTTGAAAAGAGGAAATGCGTGAGCAAGGTTAATGCTGGGCTTGTGTTACTGGTATTCTATACGAACCTTTAAAATATCCAGCACTAGGTTGTTTGACTTTTACTGCCATTTTAAAATTTTCATTAAAAGAAAAAGAAAAGGAATCCCAACTTCCCACACATACTTTTTTTTTACATTAGCCTAGCTTTTTCCTAGAATATTAATATACTTCCTAAAGATTCTCTTTTTCTGTATCTTCTGAATTGGATGACTTGCTAGGACACTAAATGCTTCTAATGAATCTTTTTCCTTTTTGAAAAGGTTTTCTTCAAACAACTGCTGATGAGTTTTGCTCTTACTATGCAAGAAAAGATGGTGGGTTGTGCTTTCCAGATTTTCCAAGAAAACAAATCAGAGGACCAGCGTCTAACTCCTTGGACCAGATGGAAGAATATGACAAAGCGGAAGAGATCAGCAGGTCCATACAGATAAATGCTCTTTAATCTGAAAAAAAAATGACAAATCTTGTAGTTTTGCCAGTGACTCTGCAGTCTGTGTTTACTATCTTCAGGAGCTATGTCATCCAGATACTTTATTATTTTTTCTTTTTCATAGTTTGCTTCTCTACAATCATAGTTTAAATGTTTTGAATACTTAAGACTACTAATTCTGTGTTATGAGCTTGGTTTCCTTATGACTCATCCGAATTTTATGGGTACAGTTTTAAACTTGAGTTTTATGATTGCTGCTAGCTTATGGTGCTGTGGAAATACTCTACACAATTGTTACTGGCAAATCAGACAAGACATGCTCCATAAGAGAAGCAAACCCTTCTATAAATAGGTCTCAGAACTTTCACTGAGTGCCTTCTGTAGGGTTTCACTATTGTGAGTAAAAGCCTAGTTTTAATTACAGTTACTGAAAGATGAGATAATGAGCTTATAAAAATTTAAAACATATATATGTTTGGGTTCTCACTTTTACTTTCTGACAGAAGGCTGTTTTATTTTTTTCCATTGAAAAGAGTTTAAATGAATCACTTAAAAGACTCATTATGATGCTTGGTTTAGCAATACTTCTTGATTTTTAAGGCCATTGATTCCAGAGGAAAAACATTTTGAAAAGAATACTAAGGGCAGCCTTTTCCTTCTTCATCTCAAAAAAATACTTACTGGTTTTCTTGCATTTGTTTAGAAAACACAAACACAACTGCTTCTGTGTCCAGGAGGTTGTGAGCGGGCTACGGCAGCCTGTTGGGGCCATGCACAGTGGGGACGGCTCACACCGGCTCTTTATCCTGGAAAAGGAAGGCTATGTGAAGATACTCACCCCGGAGGGAGAAATATTCAAGGAGCCTTATTTGGACATTCACAAACTTGTTCAAAGTGGAATAAAGGTTGGCTTTTTAAATTTTATTTCTCTTTGCTCTGGCTATGTTGATTTTTAGTGGTATCTTCCTCAATGAAGATATTTCTTCATAATAAAAGACAGAATAATTATGGCAAAAATATAGAAGCAACAGAAGGGAAAGTAACTATGGCAATTTAATGAGGCAGCGGCCTCAAATTTTTGTGTTACTTGCTGACTATTGAGCAGTGTAATCACACTGATTTTTTTTTTGTACCAGGAGATATTTTGACATGCTTTGCCTATGTAATTTTCACATTTGAAATAGTTTTGGGTTTTATAAAGTATTTGTCTAAATATTCTTTAACAGGCCTAATACTTAGGACTGTATATCAGTATTTGCTGTCAGATACAAAGACTGGATTGTTTTATCAATCGCAAATCATTCTTTCACCGTATCTATTTTTATGTCTGTGTCATAAAAAATACTTCTTAGACTATGACTCCGTTGTACAATGTTTTTACAGGTAAGTCAGATATTTTTACATATAATATATCATCTGTATAATATATCAGCACGCCTATTGCCTTCTTCCCACTTCTTCAATTTGAATTCTCAGATCGCATAATCTAGGTATGAAAATAAAACTACTGTCAAGTTTGTTTCACCCGAGTAACACAGTATAAATTAACAATAGGAGAGTATAAAGCAAATATTAGCATTCTAAAACTGACATTTAGCAGCTCATGCCTGTATTAGAATGAAACAAAGTAATAGTACAAGTTGGAGAGATCACGTTATCCTTTTCATTTCCTCACTGGAAAAAAACAAGAAGAAAGATTGGCATTCTTCTGCTTGTATAAAAAGGGACTCTCTACTCTACAGTGCTGCTCAAAGGTAAGACCACCCGAACCAAAGAAAGTTTGAAAAAACAAATAATTGTATTCCTGATACCTATTCGGTAGCTACCAAGTTAAAAAAATCAGAGTGAGTCAGAACAGAAGGACTCCAGGTAGTCAGAGTCCCCTAGCTTGATGGCTCCAAGACATGCTACATAAAAGAAGTGAACCTTTTTGTGAAAAAAGACCCTGGCACCAAAACATGGCGCATTTGGTACAGACTTTTTAACTCCATGGTTTCATTTTCTCTCCATAAAACTTTTCATTAAAATCCACAGCAGATAATTAAAGTGAAGCTTTAGTGTTTTATACATCAGTATATAATGAATCCTGATAACTCTTCTTCCCAGGGGTACTGATGAGCAGAGAGAAGACACAGCGGCAAATGTTACCCTTGAGCAGTGCATGCTCCTTCCCATGGATGTTAGATGTGGTCTCCATATAAAGCAAATGGGGAAAAGTCGTTTTAAATCATCCTCTGTGATCTCACTGGTTAAACAAAACGACTATTAACACTTTGATATACTTTCTCCTGGTTTTTACATCAAAATTAAATTAATTTTTTTCTCATTACATAGATAATACAAGTCCATGTTAATAAATGTAAAAACAGACAAGGAAAATTTTTAAGCTTTTTTTCTAATCAACCTTGAAAAGAAAATTAAAATCCAATCATATATATGTGTATACATATATATATATATATTCTTTTAGCCTTCTTTTTTTAACTTAACCATATGTCTTAAAGACTTTCCCCAGATTTAGAAATTTTTCTCAAGAACTTATTTTTTAAACCTTTGGAGTGTTCTGTTTCCTTATTATAAGACATTTAGAATGACTCCAGTATTCTCTTTTTTTACCACTTTAAACAATGTTATTTATCGTCCTTGTGCATATTATTTAGCTTGGTTGGTAGATGATTTCTTTAATATTTATTCATAGAAAGAACATTACTGAGTTGAATATATATCATAATACATATTGCCAATTTGCTTTAAATTATGTTTTCAAATATTTGAAGAAACAACATATAGTTTTCAAATTTGGGTAAAAATGTTGGTATTAAAAATATATATGATAGCCAGACATGGTGGCACATGCCTGTAATCCCAGTGCTCGGGAGGCTGAGACAGGAGGATCATTGTGAATTTGAGGCCAGCCTGGGTTACAAAGTGAGCTCAAGGGCAGCCTTAACTGCATAGTGAGACCTTGTCTCAAAGAGACAAAA